CCCCCCCAAGCCCCAACTTTGAGCCCTCAGGACCCGGGTTTATATAGGTTTTGACCCGAATCTACAAAACACATATTATGCATACCAAGGGTTTTTCAACTAAATACTGTAAAAACTATAGAATTCATGACAATATAATGCACGTGCATGTATAGTATAAGATTGAATATGATTGAGCCAGGCTGATTGAACATCTCCAAAATGTTTAGAACCCTGCAAAACACTCTGCATGCAAGTCATGTGTGACTTTTTGCCCCACCCCCACCGAAGAAGACCCACCTCTACTACTGTATGATGTTTGTCTTTTTGTTTCATATTTGTGTGCTGAAAGGCGTGCCTGGTTAAACCCCCCAAGCTTCTCAGTCCTAACGGTTCGACTGTTGAGACACGAGTTGGTGGAGGTTTCTTCCCCACCCTCCGAGCCGCAGGACCCGGACCAAGGACCCACGGTTCACGTCTCAGACGGTTCGAAGCGTCCGATGGCCGAAGTGTTCGATGCTGAGCCCGAGGGTGCCGAAGCTCATGGAGGTTTTTCCGCGAAGGCGTGGTTGTTCTGCAGAAGAACACTCGAAGGACTCTGGAACCATGCTTCTGCCACACGGATCTTCGAACATCAACTTCCATTTCTCTATATGTCTCTTTCCCCCCGCCTCAAAGCTTCTTACCGTCAAAAACACCTGCTCCACCCGCTGCCTCGATCGGTAAATGCGGCGCACGTTGGTTCACTTGCTCCAGCAGCTGGTTCGACCGTGGAAGTACCTCGGAGCTGTGCACGAGGTCGGAGAACGCTGGAGGTCACCGCCGCTGCACGGGTTCCGGAGCCGGGTTTGTGAAACCGATATAGCTTGACCTCCCTAGTAGTCCGTTTCACAAACCGTTCGGTGGTCAACCGGTCGGTCCTGCGGTATTTGAGCCATCTACTTCAGTTCCGGTCTTGGGTTCCGAGATCAACGTACACCAGATCTGTAAGCAAACTGGTCAAGCACCATCGATTGGTCCTTGAGCAAGTTCGGGGCCAATGGCTTTGCAGCGAAACCAAGAGCTGGTCGACTTCGACAAGGGTTCTTCAATTGGATCGGCCGACTTTCCTCAGGAAACTTTTAGGATCCACGAAAGGGTGTCCTGCACCGACTTGACTAATTATCTGTCACATGATCACATGGACATTGATTTGAGGAACGTTCCAATTGACCGCAAGATGTCTCCAATTACATGACCACACATGACCTCAATGAGGAGGCTACAAACACCTCCGAGACATCAAGCATGTTAACTTTTGGCGCGGAGAAGCTGTTGACTGCACCTGACAAGGGTATCGCTTCGTTCGAGGAGTGTTGACTGCATCAGGACGAAAGGCCAGCCATCCACTGCTTCACCTGTTGAAGCCATCCCCTCCACACGACAAAACCGAGAGGATCGGGATCGTTGTGATTTTTTTTGTGACATGGATTCTTCGAAGACTTCGACTCTCAAAAACACATGTCCTGTTTGGATCTCGAACGGATCAGATCTAAAAAGATCTTTAATTAAAGCACATGTCATGTCCCTAAAAACATCGAAACAAAAAACAACACGTAACGTGACCTGTCCCATCATCTTTTTCTATGAATCTGGACGGGCCCGACCTCACGGAGCAGGGGTTTTTCGCAGTGGGACCACGGAGCCGTCACCTGCCACCCTTCCCAATTGAAGGTCCAGGACATCAGGCTCATATACCGAAAAAAACATAAAACAAACAGCGTCGTCTCATGTCGTCTCGTTGTCTTCTACACTTTTCGGATAGCCCCGTTTTGGGTGGGTCGTTTTTCTCCCAGTCTGGAAAGCTATCTCCAGCTCCTTTGTCCGGGCACCAATTTCTTCGCATTCGTCCAGGCAGCAAGCCTGGGCCAAAAGAAGGATCATCTTGAAAAGGGTCGGACCAATGATCTTCAAACCCAATGTAATACAATGTTCATCAATTTTCTGTATATGTTTCAGATGACATATACACATCGGCTTGACATAGAAAACATCATCCAACTCTCTAAAATAATCTCATGGGACTAGCACATGGTATCCAGGATGACACTCACCCAGATCCATTCCCGGAGACAACTGTCTCACCTGTCTCACCCAGGTCTCCCAAACTCTTCGTTTGGCCTGGTCTTCCTCGCTCTTCAGACCCCTTGAGACCCCTCAGACCACTGGTCAATAGTGGGAGCGAGTGATAGGAAGCAGTCGTGGCGAGCCATGGCACACCCAGCAGTGAGTCATTAGGACATGACATCCCTTACTACCACGCGCGAACAAAAGAACAACACAAATCCATACAAATCCCGGTTTTGGCCCAACCAGCAAAGGGTTGACGTCCACAGAATGTCTTGACCTGCCAAGTTTTTCTCACTCAGATGATGATACCGAACTCGTTCGGTGTTTTGGGACCAGTTCGGTGGAGTTCTTTTCCCAAGACACATCAAGACACACTACTAGTAGCTATATACTTAAGCTACTATATATATATAATTATATATACATGTATAATAACAAGTGCGTCGCTCCTAGTAGCAAAGGGCATCGCTACTAGTAACAAGAAGCAACTAGTAGCGATGCACTTGTTACTAGTAGTAATGCCCTGCACACACAGTGTGCAACATGAAGCAACCCACCATGTGCACCTACATGCATGCCCGATTCGGCCCGATGCGGCGCGTGTCCAAGGCTTCCCGGCCAGCGATCCAGTTGAGGGGCAAAGTTTTCCAAGCAACTGGCAGCGAGTGGTGATGGCGCATGGCCCGGTGGCGAACGTGGTGGCGAACATGGCTGGATGGTACTGGTCGGGGATCAGTAGTTACGTTCATTTCGGTTCTGTTCTGTGAAGCTATTAGAAACAAGTGCCACGCTAGTAGTAACAGGTGCCTTACTATAGTAGTAACAAGAAGCTACGAACGGAGCAGAGGGTATGTGATGCGGCCCTTCTCGATTGGAATGGCTATGATTCTCAGGATGTGAACGCAAAGAAGCCCTCCATCGGCTCACAAAGGCAGGCCGACGCGTCGGTACGTTGTTATGCGTTTTCATCTCACGCGAGGTGCCTCGTTTGAGCCTATAATGTTGATGCACACCTCGACAAATCAGGAAATCTCAAATCACCAAGTGACTTGTGCAATATAGCACAATATACTGGTGACTTCTAAGACATCCGGGTGTCTGGATCCTAAGGTATCCTTATCAGTATCTTGGTGATGACATGGCCCCCATGCCACCGATGAACATTGAAATCCAAAGACCAAATTTACAGGTGCTGGTCCACTCTTGTCCACTTGCATGATGTTTGGAACAGGGAGTGTACCACTCCCAACATGCCAAACATGTATCGAAGCCGTCTCAAACGCGAGAAAATAGACGCCTACCCAAACGCAACCCATGGGACTGGAATATGAGCCCATTGGGGTGGTAGTATGTAAAAAGGGGTCAATGGGGCGGCATATATTGCAGTCCCGTGGAGTGTCTCGGACCCATGCATGTGCTGGGCCCATGCTGGACTGGATGTTAATTGGCCACAGCCAAGTCTCACCCCGCCATCACGCGATGCCTTGGAGGCAGTCGTACCACACGCTGGCACCACACATCTGGCGAGGAGACCACCTGAAGAGTCAGTGTTGAACTGAGGAGATCAGTATTTTTTGGGGGGAAGGTTCCACTGCAGATCACTACAGAAAGTAAGGCATCACATCTCGAACACACAGAGCAAAACAAATGCTACAATGCCATTCTCATCCATCTTAAAGCTGGTGCAATTGGTCTGTTTATGTCTGTTTTGTCCTCTCAGGGATCCTTCAGGCACCTTGATGGCATTGAAACTAGAAGCCGAAGCCACGATTTTCAGAGTGGGCGATGGTAGATTCTGAGGTCTAGAACCATGCTTTTCCAGTCCAAGAAAGGATAGTAGTTACCTTCGGTCGTGTACACCCTCTTTTCTTGGCAAATTGAGAAAGTGACATCAGGCTTGGAATCTTTTGGATGTTTGGGGATTTCTCTTGGAATTGTTGAACATCCACTGATCAACAGGTGGGTGTCTTATGGTGTCTCGTTCCCAGATGCATTTGGAAGCACCCCCTTGGAATATGGCGCCTAATCGCAACCTGTCTCCACCGCTTTGATTGGACCAGCCCGTCGGAATCTCAGGCGTTTGTTCATTCCATAAACAGCTATAGAGTAATATCAAGGGTCTAGAGTCTAGACATCTGTGGGGTGCAAGATCACTCCATCCACCGTGGGGGACAACCACCTGCAGTTTTGGTTATCCATCTCTTAGCTCCATCGCCGCACATTCGCACACGCCAAGCCATGCACACCTTGTGAAAGCCCATGCTCACCTCAGGTATCGGGTTCGGGATGGGGATCCTACTAGATATTCTAACAGGAAGTTGTTTTGATCAAACAACTGTCGAGACCTGCTTGTAACAGGATCCAACTGGAATGGCATGTCGAGACTGTTTTGATCCTGTTGGTATCTGCCTGCTTGTAACTGGCAAGTGCCATCAAACGACTGTCGAGACCTGTTGCCTTGGATCTCTCAGTCTCGAAAGTCTTTACCAAATGATGACCGAAGCAGCTGGGGAAAGACAAACTTATACAAACTTTAAGATCATAGGATGGTGGCAGTCATTTCTCGAAACATTCCAGTTTCTTCTGCATCTATTTAAACATATTGTGTCGTGTTGCTCGTCCTCAAACATGCGAGCCCCACACACTGCCTGCTTTTCGCTGGCTCGCGCTTGCTCGCCAGGTGGCTCGGGAAAAGGCTGCCAGCTCAGGGACATCCAAGGCCAAGCGCATCACTTCAGTCCAGACCTCGCTGCTGGAAGCAGCAGTCCGATTCGCGACAGACCGCGCCAAACCGCGGGTCGCGGTGCCCATGGCTCAAGCGGTTGTGGATGGTTTTGGAGAGGTTGAACAGCCCTATGGCCCCATGGCTACCGCTATTATATAAGGGGGTCCTGGTTTAGGTCTCTCAACGTCTCTTGGATGGTTTTGGGCCTTGGGGTTGACACCTCAGAAAAATCTGCCCTTACTCATTTGAGGGAGCTCTGCCCGTTTGACGCTGGGCGGATGTGGGGGGGGGCAATGCTGGGTTGATAGCGATCAGATGGGCATGAGATGGGTCGAAGCAAAAAGACGTTTTGGAAGGATTTGAGGGGTCTTCGCCTCTGATGGTAGCACCACCTGCACATATCTGCACCTCCAGCCTGGTGGTTACAGATCTTGACATAACTTCGGCAGCAATTGTCGATCAAAAGATACTACCTTCCAAACCTTCCTTGCAATGGCCCTTCCCAGGCCTTCCAAGTACGGTTTAATGAGGTCCGATTCCTTTGTTATCCTTCTTCTGCCCCCAACCCTCCTGTAAACAACTTCCATCAACTTTCTATATATGACCTCACCTCCATGAGGCCAGCAGAACCGGCTGGAGGGTTTGATTCGGTATACATGACATTTGTTTGATGAGGTCTGATGCCAGGGAAATCCAATAAGTTCTCTCAACTCAGCTTGCTCAGCTTGCTCTCACCTCCAAGTCCCCGGTGAGGAGTTCACCGTCGTCCTTCATCCCAACGGATCCCTTCACCGTCGCGGGATCGAGCAGCTTGCGCCGTCGCTTCGGGTGTCAACACCGGGCGAATCCTTCCCCGGCCTCTTCTGGTAGCTCTCCGGGCAAAACCTCCTAAGCAAGAGTTGAGCGCGCGAAGGGATTGGGGCTCGCACCATACATTGGCGTTGGCGCCAACATCGAGGAGGACATAAGCCATGTTTCTACGGTGGCGGAGAGTCTCCGAGCCGCAGCGATCTCCGAGAGGAAGAGATCGACCGGAATCGAAAGAGATTCGACCAGTTTAGAGCATTTCACATCATTTCACCCAGTTTCTCACGGATGATTCCCGTTAACTACAAGGGCTTTTTGCGGACTGTACCAGTGAAGGCCTGGACACAGCGGACTGCCATGCGGACTGCCTACTCACACGCAGCAACTCACATGCAGTAACTATACCAAACACAAGCATACAACAGATCTCAAAAGAGGCATATACAGTTGTGTAGAAAAAAAACTGAAAATGGTCTTCCATCTTCCATCTGCCTGTTTCTTCATCCATGGAAAGCCATCTCAGTCCTTCAAATCCAGCTCCGGAAGGCCTGAACACGGTGCCAGTCCCTGCAATGCCAGTCCCCGGGCTCCATTTGATTGGCTCCTCCCTCCAAGAGGTTCCTCTCCGTCAGCATCGGGTCATGATGAGTTCAGAACCCAAATGAGTCAAGAGTGTAAGACCCAAGCCTGGTTTGGGAGTCTTAAGTAAGATGTCTTCTTTATCAACAGGCAACAACAGGCATGCATGACTTTTTGTCATTTCGGGGGCTTCAAGTTGCTGGCCGTTGGGAGATGTCAAGTATATGAAGGGCGTCCAAAATGCACACTCTGCTGAAGGCCAGATGAGGCCGGATGTCTCAAATTAAACTTGTTTTAGCCACAGGGTCGGTAGTGGTGCTCGCTCTCTTTAAGTCTTTTTCTATAACATCAACTATAACATCTATAACCGTTCTCCTTTTTCCCAACTGTTCTCCTTTTCCCGACCCCGTGGCCGATCGGAAAATCACCTCCTTGTTGGGCGGGTGGCTGGGGAAATTGGCCGAGCGCTCGGCCGAGCGCTCGCTCGACCCGACCGCTCGGAACAGGCTGTTCGCTACGAACGGAAGCTTCGCGCATCGCTACGTTCGTAACAAGTGCCTTACTAGTAGTAACAAGAAGCTATTAGTCATTAAGTTTAATTAGAATCGAACTTAAGTGTCCCTCCATATTGGGCTCTTTGGTTCTCTTGAGGTCGCTTTTCCCGCACAGGGCCCACACACCTTGGTGAGAATCTTTTGACGTTTGTGCCCAAGAGCTCTCGATTTAACTATGAGATTCTAAAGTGCGCAGAACAAAAGAGCGAGTTTGGTTTGTCAGTTCATATATATATATATATGAAATGATGCGAGCATGTTGCATGAAGCACCCCCACGAAACGGAGCACAGAAACACAACAATCTCTTCTTCTTCATGTTTTCCCAATGTTTTAAAGCAGTGCATTTGAAGAAACACAGTGAGGCTGCCAGTATAGTTCCAACAACCCTTCAGCTCCAAAATATCATGGAAATTTACAGCATCCAGTCACTTCTTCCTGCATTTTCCATGCCTGTGACGACTGTGTCTCGATTCTCGATGCTCCCCAGTGTGGCCCTGTTCTCAGTGCCTTCGGAGATGCCAAGGGCGTCACGTCCCGGCGAGGCCTCCGCTGCAAGTGCCGTGTCTTTACCTGGGTTTCTTGGGACTTGTAAGGGAGGGATGACCACGGAGACCAGGTTTGGTGGCAAAAATGGCATGATCTGACCTGAGCCAAGTTGCTGGGATACAGCATACATTAAACAAATGCAAGATAACCCCCTGCAAAAATGAATTCCTGTAGAATAGCGGCCTTGTCACATAGAATCCTAAGATGTGTATGTCGAAAGGGTGGGTCAGATTTTGGAAAATCATGTGCAACTAGAATACATGTATGCAAACAGACTATTGATAAGCCAATTTAACGTTGGTACATGCAATGCTATGCAATTCCGTAACATTTGGCCAAAGAGCACTCTAGCTGGATACCCGAATCTAGTTTGATGGCCATGGAGTGCTTTTCCCATCCCTATGAATTTTGGTTTGAGGATGCTGGGAGAAGAGCTGCTGCCCTTAGTTACTACAAAGACATCGAGGTTTTTACGAAAAAGGCTGCTTCTTGATCCACTGGCTTGCATGCAGCATTCTAACTCTGCAAAATATTCAAACTAAAAGTTTTTCCCACCCACCCTAATGTGATTTGGACATATTTGGAATATTCTAACTGCATGTCTTGAATTTGAGAATACTAACTGCTAGCCCACTATGATAAGGTTATTCTTATTGCACCCACTGGTCTTCAGAGTCCATGTTTATTCTGCAGGAGGATCAGTTGTGGTTTTGGGTTGGCGAGACTTCTGAAGATCTTGGCCCGCTCTCCAAACTAAGTGAATCTTCCAGTTGAACGACAAGAGGAGACCCACCGGCACCATCCCTTCAACCCCTTCAGGTAGTCCAAAACTCATCCAACATCGAGGTCAGTTGGACTTCATTTTGCGATGTAGATCCACTACTCAAAATTTGGTTTTCAGGACCAGGTTGGAGGCCATCGCTCTTAGGTTGCAGGCCATCGCAAAAAAAGGTTGGAGGCCAATCGCTACTAGGCTGGAGGCCATCGCTATTAGGTTTTGGTGTCAGGTTTCAACATTTAGACTCTAGACTGGACCTGTAGGCTTTTCCAATCCCCAACAGCCCACGGCACCAGAGAGCCCACGGCACCGGTTCCGCCGCCGCAGGCCGACGCGTTTGCGGCGAGTGCCCCACCGTGAAGCTCAGCACCGGTGAGGAGGGTGGCGCGTGCCGCTGAAAGCCCACGTACCTCGATAAGATGCCCAGACGAGATGGGAAACGATGGGAAAGGATGTGTGGATTTTAGTGGGGGAACTCCCAACCAATGGATTCTATAGATGCGTTTCTGAGGGTCCCAGAGGTCGAACTGAGGGGTCTCCCTATTAAAATACAGTATATCGAACGTCTGAAGCCCCAAACAAGCCCACGGCACCGAACGCCACGGAGAGCTGAGCAAGCGCTCCCTTCTCAGCGCGAACAAGAAGCGCCCATTCAGAAGTACACTCGGTCCAAACACGTTCATGGAATGAAATGGATGGCCTTCCTGCAATGATATAGAAGGAAAGTACATGAAAGTACTGATTAGAAAGTCCTCCTTTCGACCCATGCCATCCTTTCGACCACAGGTGATGTGTTCAGCTCACCAGTCTGTTTCAGCTCACGCGAAGCTTCGGTGTCTGGACGAGTCGTGTCAGCTGGGTCTCGGCGCGGCGAGGAAGAGGGGAGCTTCTCCGAACTGGGCGAGGAAGGTGGGCAGAACTCCGGCTGGGCCGTTGGTGTACAGGAAGGAAATGGCTGGAAGATGTGGGATGGATAGTCTCCAGGGCAGTGGCAGCCAGCAGTGGCAGCCAGCCATGTTGTCCGCTAACACCAGGAGTATCGAATCTGTTCGGGTTTGCTTGAATGTGAAAGGTCTGGGATTTGGAGATGGTCGACCATTTACATCCTTCAACCCTCATTCCAATTTCGTCGCATATCCCATCTTGAAAGCCAGCCGAATCTGGAAGTCTTGCCGTCTGTTTCATGAACATGTGAAGTCGTCATGGATGACCACGGCTCAAAAAGCACCATTTTCTCCCGGGGAAAAAGAACCGCAGATTTCTTTTGAGCCTCCGTTCGGGGTGTCTATAAATAGCCCCTTAGAATCCCTTAGAGGTGTTTAGGGCTTAATCATTAAGCACACCTTGTGGTTTCTTGTATTAATTTATGTATACCTTCTCAAGCTCCAGGGCGAAAGGGTCCATAAAAGCTATGTTTCTTCTCGCACCAGTCCCGCAGGTCAAGCGGCGCATGTTGAGGGAAATGTCGACCATCTTCTTGAGTATCAATATATTTTGTTATATTATATAATTTATACAATATCCAACCGACTCACGACTCTATGTTCATCTATGAAGTGGGTCTATCACCAGGCCCACCTCATAAAGCCATTCATCTAAAAAGACATAGCATACCAAAAAATTAAACGTTGGAATCTGATCTGCAACTGGGCAAACCGTGCGTTTTGCGTCGTTCGGCCCGTCAGACGGGCATCCCGAGGCCTCTCGGATCCCTTGAACGCTCGCGCAAGAACGGACCCACGGACAAGCCCATCAAGCCCTGCTCCCGTGCGCGAAGACTTCTATGCCAGCACCCGACAATAAACAGGTCACCACTGGTGAGAACCATCATGTACCATCACTTCCAAATACCTAAGAAATACTAAGAAAACTTCAACTCCCAACAGTTGCCCAATGTTTCTGGCTGATAGATCTCCAAGTTCAAACAAACCAGCTCCGCGCCTCTCTATTGAAGAGAAAGCATCGCCATGCGACTCCTGCACAACGGATCAGCGTGATCTTTCTGCCTGAGAAGAGCGAGGGTGGCTTCAACTCCTCCGAATACCTGAGAAGCTTGAGGAAGGCTTCCGCAAAGAACATCGATGTCATTTGCTAGTCGATGGGACACCTCAACCCCCCTGCAAAGATCACCCCACCAGCAAAGGGGAATCGATGCGGAGCCTGTACACCACGGGAGATCTAGTAGAAGTAAACAACACATGAACACAATCTGTTGGTTTTGAAGGAGAGTGGTCTTTCAAAGCGTCACCGTCCACGTCTGAGTTTGCTTTTAGACGACGATCACTTTTCGCTTCCAAAACCTTGAAGGAAACACTCTGCCATGAGCCTTGAGCCACCTCAAGCCTACAGAAAACATGATAAAACTAGCCCTTCCACTGGGCTTTCAGCCTCAACTTGTCATTCAGGTGAATATGTGTCTCCGAATACATCTCTTTTGGACAAGTAACTTTCACATGAGAACAAGGAATGAACAACGATTACAGGTTGATGATGCTGGGTCTGCTGGAAATCTGGTCTCCCGAATCCCTTATCCCTCACCCCGGAGGCTCCTGGTCTTCACCTGGGTTCGAAGTCTCAAAAATGCAGTCGAAGTCTCAAGAGATTATACTCGGACCCTTGGAGGGCACACTAAATGAAAACGTTGACGTTAAGTATTATATACTGTATTATAATAGCAAAATTACTGTGCATGTGGGGTTTCTGATGTATGGCCACGACCAGAGTGTCGTCCATACCGTCGACGCGTGACAGTCCGACGAGCGAGGTTATATAGCAAAACTACTAAATGCTGGTGCGCCGAAAGACTCTTGCCATCATTCTGCAAAAAGACAGACTATATAGATGATCCTTTGGGGCTCATGGACACTCAGGGACACTCAAGAATGTCGTAGAGTGTCCTTGAGTGTATCTTTCTATGTTCTTTTGCTTCTTCTTGAGGTTTCCTTCTCTTATTCATAACCCTGTTGTTACTTCTTTGCTATTCTTGTCAACCCGTTTGTTTCTTCTTTTATTGTTTTCTCTTTTTTCTTTTCCTTCTTGTTGAGGATTCCTTCTCTTGCAAAAGCCTTGCTCTTCTTGTTAACCCTTCTTCTTCTTCTTCCGTGTTAAAACACATGCCTTCTTCTTATATAACCTGATGTTTCTCCATCTTGGAGTCTTAGGCCTTCCTCTTCTTATAAACTCTTCATCTTCTTACATGCGGCTCCTCTCAACACCTCTTCTTCTTAAGTCTGCACGCTCAAGGACACTCACGAGAAAACCGCAAGCCAGTCACTCATGGACACTCATGGACACTCTGAGTGTCCTTGAATGTCTGATTCGAACAGCGCACCTCTTACGACCACAATGGACTCATAATTCACTATCTCCTACGGTTTTCTCCCATATAGTATTTATAAGCCAGCCGCGCACCTGGGACGACGCTTGCGACATGGAACGGATGTGGAGATCCAATAGCGCTGCTTGTGCGACCTCAACATCCTGCAAACCTCCTCATCTCCAACGTTGCTCTGGTCACACAAACCTCCACCGTGGCATCCTCCCAAAAAACGATGAACATTGAGAAATTGTTAAATTAGAGTTGAAACATGTTGAAACGATGCAATAAAGCTTTCGGGTGCTTTGGTTGGACAATCAGCATCCCATAGCTCTGACCCGCCTAGCTCTGCCAGCTCCGGAATACGTCGTCGTAGCAGTCGGTCCAGTTGGCCCAAAAGAAGGATCTTGGCACGGCGGCACTTATGTAGGCGTTGTAGCGACCGGAGAGGAGCGCAGCAAAAGAGACATGTTCATCGATTAATGCATTGGCCAAATGGCTGGCCGCTAGCCACCAAGATCAAAAAAACTTGCCTTTTTGCTTCACGATGGTAGCAGAAAAGCAAACTATCTCCTCAATTGGGTGTTGAACTTCATGATTTCCTCTGCCATATTCCACCGAAGCTCGGGTGGAGAAAATCATTACCCTATCATCCGAAGGCAAGACTCAAGAGCACCCTGCCCCTTCGCCTCTCCACAGCTCTCTATGAAAGGCCAGTGAGACGTTTCTGGTGGTTTCTTGCTGGGGGCAATCCCCTGGTTCCAAAGGTCACTTGGCCGGCCAAAACCAATCTTTCTTCAGAAAAGGTCTGTTTATGTTTGGATGGAAAAAACAACGCTGAAAGACGTCAAGCTGCAGTTTCCTCAAAAAGACATCTCTTGAGTGACATCCTTTTAAATACATCGACCACCTCATCAGAGCCTCACAGTACCAAACTCGCACCCAACATCGACTGCCGAGGCCTCCACACCTTCACACAGTGAAGACCCTCCAACACGGTCCCAACGGCCACACCACACGCAAACCCCACCTCCGGACACCCCTCCACCCGCGCCTGGGAGCGCTTGGGCGCATGGCGCAAGGCGCCCACGAAGGGCGAGCTCCGTGGAAGGCGATCCTCCGGCTCGCCCTGGGACGTGACTCTCCAGAGGGAGTTCGACGGAGAAGACCGGAGATGAGGGACGAGAAGGTGACAAGATCTGATCTCACTATATGTTGGAAGATCCCCATGGGCGATCCCCAGCAGGGGGAGGAGTCTCGAAGATAGAATTCTGAGAAAAAAGGGTCGACCGTGACACAGTTAGGCAGTGTATTTTTGTTTAACCAAGCAACTAAACAAAAACACTTTGAGACCCCCTTTCTCCAACAAACTTCTCAAAATTGAGATTTTTCCTGTAAACCACTCACGGTCGCTTCCTTCACCATGCTGAACACTCCACGGCCATGCCTCCGGTGCCATGATGGCCGACATCGTTTCTGCCTAAAGCTACCTGGGCTGTCAGGGCCCAGAAATGGAACGGCTGGATCCACAAAAATTGGTCAGATTTAGGGGAACCCAAACAAGCCGGAAGGGTTTCAGGCAATTTGAAGAGTTCAGGCGCTTTGACCTGGTTGTCATATCCGAGTGCTTCAAACACCTGCCACCAGCCCTAGTACCAAACCCTCCCCCCTTTCATCAATCTATAATTACCTGCTGACTTCATCTGTCCACTTGCTTCCAGCCAGCTCCGGCCCAGTCGGCCTGTTCCTCCCCAAGAAGAACCATCCAGAACCCCCATCGCCACGTCCCCGGTCCTTCGGTCGCGTCTCCGTTCGGTTTCGGTGCGACCGCCGAGCTACAAAGAATGGTACGTCACGTGGCACTTGGCGACGTCTCCTTCGGAAGAGCCAAGCTTCAACACACCTCGGCATCCGAAGAGCGTGATGTTCATCCGGAACTGGTTGAAGGATGTTGAAGGGGCATGCAGAATGTGAAATTCTGTATATCGGGTATACTATCGATTCACAAATCATTAGATTGCATTTTTACCCTTGAGCAAGTAGATGGAAATGGAGGGTTGGTTTACTCCTACCGGCCTACCGGGATTAAAAAACTTGCACGGCCCTGTTTCAAGCCCCAAGGGCCAGCCCTAAGGGCGCCACAACTTCTTGATCGTCTTCTTCTTGCTCTTTGACGTTCGACGTGCCTTCGGTCAACTCCTCGTGCCTTCGATCTGTGCGATTTGCAAGCGACGCTGGACTGGCCTCTTTTGCTCTCTCAACTTCGTGGACACCAGCCCAGCCAAGCTTCTGGACTGAGAGTAGACTGGCCAAACTCCGATGTCTTCAGCTTTTTCGGACCCGAAGAAGGAATCCTATAGGAATCCTATGATATAAGGACTCTAGAAGACTCAAAGGCCATCGAAGGCCCAGTTACATCGCGAGAAGTTGACTGGTACGTCACGTCGTATCCGATCAACAAAGGAGTCTGGATCACGGAGTAGTCTGGATCACTGACTGGCTGTCCGGCTCACGGAACCGGCTGTCCGGCTCAGGCACTGACCAGGATCAAACTCAGATCAATCGGGTCAATCTCAACACCAAAATTCGACGAAACAAAGCAGACCTGTTTCGGATGAAAGATCCGGTGACCTGAAACATGGTGAAACATCCTGTGGTCCTTAGGCCTTCTGGAAGAATTTAGGATGAGATTGGAATAGATTTGTGTCAGAAGTTGGGCCAAAGCTTGAGTTGGCCCAAATGGCCTCGGCAACGTCCCAGCCAATGCATCGCGCTGTGAATCCGCGAGGCCCGTCCTCTGATCTTCACGGCCTTCAGCGATCCAGAACCGTCCGGGTTGAAGGGCCTGTCGTCAAGGCCCAACGGAGTCTGCTCCCACGGCGCAGTTGGCTCCCAAGATCCATCGGGCCCAGAAATCCATCAGTTCTGTTTTTAGTTTTTGTTCTCCCAAGAACTGATCCTCAAATCTCTGAGGTGTCTCTCTTCCTGATCTTCCTGGCCCTTTTTCTCAAGGCCCGTTTTTGTCACCATCTGACCTATAGATTCACAGATCAGAACAACATAAAACAACCGTACCGTCACAAACAACCAAGAAGCAACACAAAGAACAGCTATATATGTTTTCCAGTGAAGCTTCCCTCGCACTTCCAGTCTACTCAGACTTCCCATGCGAATGCGACCCTCCACCTCTGTTGAGCCCTGTGGAGTTGACCAGAAGTGACATCTGTTACATCGCTGACATGTCACCGGTCAACACGGAGCACGGGTCACCGGTCAAAAAAGTCATCCAGTGGTGTTAGAAAGATTGGAAGAGCGCTGGATGAGGGAGTTGTCGCGCTCAAGAGATGAGTGATCAACATGTGTCAACCTTTGTCACCCGTGTGCTGTCTATGTTCACACAGCACAACTCAGTGAAACAGCAAATGTCAGCATCAATCAAAAGATCACATTCTCCCTGTCACAATCACTCAGATACTGTATTCGGACCGACATCAAATACCCCTTGGCTTCTTGCCAGCACTGCGGAATCTCCAATTCTCTTCCCACTCGTCCTACAACAAGCTGATTTGCTACCGGCTGTTCCGGAACAGCCTGGTGGCTACAAGGAGGGCCAAGCTTTATTGGGAGAAAATCTCGAGTATTTCTCAGAAACATTCGGGACTTCTCCACTGCCAGGCCAGGAGGTCATCTTCCTGCTATATATAGAAGTGTCTTGCAGTGCAAAAAAAACAGCCCTAGACACACCCATCTGGTGTTGTGCCAGCAAATGAGGCTTCCTGAATGATCTGAATGCTCAAAAGAATCACCTGCCTTTCCAACGCAAAACACACTGAAAACCCCCCAACACCTTCAAACATGGCCACCCGAAAGTTCTTCCCTCTGCTTTGCACCTTGCTCCAAACTATTTGGCAATCCTCAGACATCACGCCAGCGAGACCGAGTGGTGGATTTCGCCGGTGTCAAGTTGGCCCCCGGTCGAGCCGAGAGAGACATTTGTCCAGTCCACAAATGGGATGATTAGGTGATTTCTTAGTGAACACATGCTTTTTTGGGGACACTGAGGAGGAGAGGTCATTGAAATGTCTTTTGTCATCTTTTGCCCATTGCTCATCCATGTTTGGGGTTTGAACATGCTTGTGCTAGCTAGCCTCATCGCCAAACGTCGCCAAACCTGTCTGGGATCGATGAACAAGACCTGACGAGCCTCCTGACGACCTTTGGGGATCCGGCGGGTCGCTGACTGGAGGCGGAAAATAAGAAAACATGAAAAACAACCATGAAACAAACTTCTCTTCGGTGGTGGCTGCATGGGCCTTTTTGAGTGTCAAATCTTTTCAGAGCTTAGAACCAGGTGCCCAGGTGCGGTTGGTGCGGTTTTCAGCTTCGGCAGTGTGCAGTCTTCAGGTGCTCCATTTGAGCAGCTTTCGGTGATTCGGGTGGTTCCTCGCCATCGACCCTTTAGGGGTGATGCGCAAAAACCCTCCAGTTTAGCCTTCTCAACAATGCAACATACACCCGTTGATGCCTGGACCCCCCAAAATATGGGAGATTATCAATCCAGTGTCAACGCCAATCGAAATAGGGGAGACCTAGAGTTTTTGCCCAGTGCTGCGGGAAGACTAGTCCATCAGCACTAGGGACTAGTCAACTCTCAATCAAGTCATCCAACAAGTACAGAAAAAGCAGCAATTTGAGCATCTCTCTTGAGCCGAGGGTCTAAATATAAAATCTGCCATGCGTGACCCAAATCCGAGCCAAAGGGTGCCGAAGATTGGGCTGAAGCATCTGAAAAGCCAGGCATGACTGTCACTTGCTTTCAATCCAAACTGACATCTGCAAAGCATCTATATCATCTAAATCATTCTAAATCACACATCCATGCTTAAACGTCTGATCTATGTTATATCTTGCTGCGACATTTCGTGCTTCTTCATACTTCTTCCTTGTCCATGTGGCTCTACCTGCTGTCCTCTGGCACCGGCTCCTTTTCACCCTCACCACCCTTCAAGGTCGTCCCATCATCTGCAATCAGCTGTCGGATGGCCTAGAGCTTCGTGGGCACCATGCGGGTTGGCCCTAGGAAGTGGTTGGGGAACTCCCTGTAGCTCCTTTGCTCCCTGTTGAAAGGGTACGACGTCATATGGAGCTCCCTCCTGATCACCAAACTAGTATAATACTTGGCCATGCAGTGTGCGGGTACAGATGTCCGACATCGCATCATCGTGTTCTGTCCGACCGATTCTTCTTGTGCTCATGTTCGACTTCTGGGAGATGACTTGATATCATCAAGAAGCCCAAAGATGCTTCAACCTCCAGCTGCCCCCCTTGCGGTGGGTCATGTTGTCATGTTGGGTCATGTGTGGATCGGTAGGGATCGGTAGACGAAACCAGAAATGGGTCACGTTGAGCTTCTCGGTTTCACCCCTCGCTATTGGAGCTGCAGAGAGCTTTGTAGACCGTTGACTATAACAAAACCAAATGGGGGAGGTTATGAATCAACCGTCTATATCCCTCTACTAGGTCTATAATTGGTCTATATATTAGAGAATGATATGTCCCTCATCAATACTAATCATCGGAATCCACCAACCTGATTTACCCCCCACCACATCCACCCGCTCTCTTTGTTCGCCCGCTTCCGCCCTACCCCCACAAAACCGCGCACGACACCCGCTGTCCGCACATACCGCCTGCCGCAGGATGGAGTCGTTGGCTTCGCGTCCCTGCAGCCTGGGACGAAGATCGTGACCAGGCTGCACAAACCAAGAGAGGTGACCTTATAGGGCCCGTCACCTGGGGTACCTATGGGATAGTCGAACACTCGGGTTCTGACCCACCTCTGTTGGAAAGACTCAACACACCAGCACTGCTGAGGTTTTGCTTGAAAGTGTCCGAAACAGACAGTTTAACCCTACAGAAACCAAACATGTGGTGAAACGAGCTTCTTTTGCACCGGTGAACGCAAGGTCCACAAGGTGTTTGGCCCCAGAAATACCACGTCCAAGATGATCAAGAATCCCACAGACTCCCACAGGAAAGTTCTGAAACCCTGCAACCTGGGCCCTGGACCAGTGAGGATCATCTCTTCCCAGTTGAGCTCTTGAGCAAGTGGGATGAGGGACACCCGGCCTTTATCAGAACAAGTCGGCTGGCCCCCCCTCCACAAGTGGTGCGATCCAGTCCGTGAGTCGACCAGTCCGGAGATGGATTCAGAGTCGATACCAGGAGCTCCCAACATATCCAGGAGGGCATCCTCGAAGCGATCCGCTAACCTCGAAGCGATCCGTGGAAGGCCAAGATGTGCGAAGGTGAGGAGTGAAGGGGAAGAAGATGGAAGAAGGAAAGGGCAGTGTTCGCGAGTGGGCGGCCACCTCTGTATAAAGAGGAAATGGTTTTTGAGGAGCATGATGCGGAGGTTAAGGATGTGGGGAATAAATGGGTCAATACCATGGAGACAAAGACAACCATTTC